TCCATGGAAGAGTGTGGTGAAATAAACACTTGAAGAAAAGTATAAAGATCAGTGTTTACAGAGCCATTGTGCTGTCTACTCTTTTATACGGATCCGAATCATGGGTCATTTACCGCCACCACCTGCGTGTCTTAGAACACTTCCATCAACGCTGCTTCTGTACAATCCTAAACATCCACTGGTCAGATTATGTGACTAACACATCAGTCCTAAAACAAGCAGCAATCACAAGTATTGAGGCCATGTTGCTGAGAACACAGCTGCGCTGGGCAGAACACGTCTCAAGGATGAAGGACCAGTGCCTCCCTAAGATCATGCTTTATGGTGAACTTGCCACCGGCTGCTGCAAGACAGGAGCCCTGAAGAGGAGATACAAGGACTCCCTGAAACAACATCCCAACCTTGACCATATTGATCATCATAACTGGTCTACTCTGGCCTCCGATTGGGAGGCCTGGAGACACACCATCTATAACGCTGCTGATGCTTTTGAAAAAGCACGCAGGATCACTCTTGAGGAGAAAAGGCAATGCAGAAAGAATCATGTCTTGCAGAATATACCACCTAAGGAGTCTTTCTGCTGTGCCTTTTGCAACCGGACATATCTATTGCATATTGGCCTTTTTAGCCACCAGCACACTTGTAACAAATGTGGGTAGAGCCCTTCCCAGATCTTCGTTCATGAAGCCTAGCCATGAATTATGCAATAAGAAAAATAATATTTAATATGTTAGGAGAGATGCAACTAGTGTGAAAATAAATCCTATATCCTCTGAAAGTTTATATAAATTTGCCACTGAAATAGGAGGAAGAAATGAATCCTAAATTTTTGATTTCTCTCACCTTTCCAACTACTCAGGTATTATTGTGGATTACCTAACTGATACTGTATTAATAAGATTTTTTGAGTTATTATTATTACAGTTTATGAGGGACAAATATGGTGACAAACTTTGTTCATTGTGGTTTAAAATGTCTTTATAGTCATTCAGAAGATGTCGGCAGAGTCACTGGATTCAGTACAGAGCATCAAAGTTAAAGAGATGGTTATGCAAACAGATCAGAATGAGACTCCCTGCAAGCACGCACGTAAAAAAAGCACAGTGATACTAGTGATTTAAAAGTCAAAAAGGAATGGACTTAATATATATTTGGCATTACATGCCAAATCCAAATTTTGGGTTTGGGCAAAGCCAAGTTTCCAAACCCACAGTTAAGACTGCAAAGTCTTCCATTGGGTCTCGCCTGTAATCACATTTTAGGGGTAGCATTTTCTTCAAGTTGGGTCTATCAGTTACTCATGAAGTTATTACCACTTTGGAAAGGCCTCCAGAAAGCATAGGTACTTTCCAGTCTAGATACATGAATTTGCATATCAGCTTGGAATAGTCAAATCTGTATGCCAGCAAGACATCTAATGCCGCACACTGTAGTTAATTTCCACAGTATATTTTGAGAAACGTAATTGAAGTGTGTTCAATATCACAAAATGTGAATGGGTGAGATCATAACAAGAGTCTTACCTCTGCCACTGCAATGCAGAGAAAATATATCTACTTAATAAAAATGATCTAACTATAATCTGATGTGGAAATTTGTTTATCAGGATTAACTATAATACACAAATGCTGTTTATAATTACGAGCACACAATTAAGCGCAACTGTAGTGGTTTGAACCAGGTTTTCCCCCTGAAACTAAGAAAGTGGTAACCCCCAGGGGGTGGTGACCCTTGGGGCTTGACCAATCAGTGCTCCTGCAAAATATAAACATATCTCTGGAGACCGAAAAGGAAGCAGTGGTTCTTGTGGTGAGAAGAAGAGGTGGCCATGTTGTAGAGGCCACGAGGAGAAGGGGCTCTGGCCCCTTGGGGGCCTCTGCCCCCCCCCAGCCCCAGTTGGGGGCTGCAGGGACTCGGAATGGTGTTGAAGCTGGGCTGAGTGCCTGCGGCTAGGAGCTGGGGGAGTTTTCTCCCCTGTAAGTAAAAGTGGGAGACGCTGGGAGCAGCGACGGAGCAGCAGCGGAGACAGCAGCGTCCGAAGAGCAGTGGCAAAGAGCCAACTGATAAGGACCAAAAGGAGCAACACAAGCCGGTATGCAGCTAAGGCAGACACAGAGGTGTCTGAGGAGAAGGAAAAGCAGCAACAGGACAAGAGGACCAAGCCAGCAGCAGGAACAGAGTTTCGCGGGGTAAGAACTGGATAAACCAAAACCCCCAAACTCGCTAGAGACCCCTCCGAGAAAGAGGAGGGGGTGGTGGACTGAGAGGAGTCCTAAAGTGCAGTATGCACTGATGAGAGGAGCTAGGAAGCTCATGGCCTCCTGAGAGATAAGCCAGGACGGCCGAAGGAATGTGTGTGTGTGGGGGGTGACCTTGGCCCCCCCTGCTCCAGCTTCAGAGAAGCTGGCAGCCATCTTTGAGGCAGAGCATGGGAGCTCTGCACAGGGGCTTGATTTCCCCTGAGGATACCAGACCGTCACGAAGACCCCGGTGCTTCGTGATATGACCATGGTGTAGCGGCCGTGTCTGGGGTTACGCAGCCCATGGAAAGACCCCCTGTTGGAAGACGGGGGCCGAGAGAGGCTTGGAAGACCTCCCTCGTGTGTGCTGGCAGAGAGCCAGCAACTACTACTGCTGCCTAGAAGAGAAGACACAGAAAGCCTACTGCCTAGAGAGAGAGAGAGTCCTGCTGCTGACAGACTGGGAGGGGTCTTTTCTTCTTCTTCTCTCCTGGACTTTTATTTGGAGGGAGAAGAGATTTGGCCCATTGTAAATATTACTGTCATGGTAGAGATAGATATAGAGTTAAGATTGTATGCAGTGTATTATAGTATTTATTTATTTGTATAGTCTTTGTAATATATTCCTTCCCCCATATTGAGTCTCGTGTTTTTGTCTGGAAAACCCATCTCACATGGGGTTGAGATGTGGGTGGGGGGCTAGGAATCAGAATTGGATTTTGGGCCTGCTGAAACCATGACAGCAACACAGTATAAAACTCAAATAACATATGGCATTTGCAGAAGCAGTAGTGCTACCAGAAAAGAAACATACCAGTTGTCATATTTTATTAATCCTATGATAAACTACTGCTGCATTGTAATTGAGTCAGCCAACATCATTATCTGAACTTCTGTTTTCTGTGAATCTCTTGTAACTTAGAAGTCCAATTATTTATTAATACGACATTGTTTCATTGAATGTGAATTATTGTAGGGACAGTGGGTTGACTTACTCTCCAGTATTATTATTCCAATATAGCAATGATTTATGCTAGGTATTAATTTTGTCATGTTTCATATTGTATCTATTTATATATATACTTCTTGGCAAGAGTAACTAGCCCAATATTCCTTAGGTAATGAGCTGTTAAGTTCAACAAGTGAACTTACAGTGCCCTTAGAAATATAGCATTCACATTTAGCTCTTATTTGTGTCAGAGGTTAATAATTTCACAAGTTAATAACTTCCATCTAAGAAAGGTAATCAATATCATTCTGTTTCATAAGTTGGAAGGAACATCATGGTAACATGTAACAGTAGCATCCAAAATTTAAAAAAACCTATTCTTTTTAGTAACCAAGAAACAAGTTTGTAAGTTTGTAATAATTAAAATCCCACTGAAAAGGAAATGAAAAACTTACACATTGTAAAAAGATAGCCCTAATTATTCTCACAACATAAATAAAGCCTGGAGATACAATGCAACAGCAGATGCAATATCTTAAATGAACTTCATGTTGCAGTGCTGACCACTATTTGAAAAAATAATGATTAAAATAATGTCTAATTCCTATATTACTGATTCTTCTCAGCAATAACAAAAATTCAAGAACCTTAAATCTGTCAGGGTCATGTACATACCTTGAAACTGCACATCTTGCATGAAGGGGCACCAGATAAAAGCCGTTTTGCCTCAGAATGTCTTTGATATTACTATTTAGACACAGCTAAATAAACTATCAGCCTGTTTTGATTTTAAAAGTCAACAATAGTCAGGTAGACGTTACAATTACTTCACTAAGAAAAAAATCGTACTACCTAAAATTTGTTTATTGATTTAAATAGAAACCTTATAACAGCTGCAAGAATTTCTAATAATTTCTAATAATTTCTAATAGAAGACTTTGAGGTAAAAAACCCCAAACTAATTATAGGTGAAATACTGAACATATTACATCCATGTAGGAGTTAAGCAGAATTTTAAGCTTATAGAATAGTCCTACATATTCTTCTTGTTCTCTGTCAATATATAAATATGGGCCATAATTATACTAGATAAACCTCTCCATACAAAACTACAATGTCCAATTTGCTTATTAAAGCCTAAGTATTTTCAAATTACTTAATTTTGTTTACTAAAATCTATTCAACTGACATAAGAGATCAGTTCTCACAGCAGAATCGTTTCTGGAAAGGGTTCTGCAAAGGATTTGCCTGAAATCAAAAGGGTTTTGGGAGAAGCTCTGGCACATGCATAAATAAACAAATACAAAACACCTCACACAATGAATCACAATAATTTATTTCAAAAACACACGATATTTTGTCTAAATATCTATTGGATATTGGATATCTGGATTGCAGAGTAAACCTTGATAATTTTTAAATATGTCCTCATGAGTAGACAGAGAACTACATTTTTATAACTCTTACACCAAATAAACTAAGATGCTACAAAGGAAAGAATGAATTGATATGTAGATAGATAAAATCATTCAGTAGCTTATTGATGCTTTCCTCTTTTTATCAAGACAAATAAATACTTTTAATCTTGCTTTTCAAACTGCAGCTTTATTCCACAGTAATCTACAGACTGGAGGACAGTGCATATGCAAAAGAAACAAACAACACAAACCAACAACAACAACAAAACAAACAAAGCCAAGAAAACACAAAACCAACTCAGAAAGAAAAAGTAGGTTTAAATCTGCAAAGAGAGGAAGAAATCTGAATCTACATCAACTATATCCTAATAAACTTCTATCTGAAAGGGAAACAAAACTCTTCTTGCCATTCTTTGTATCTTGAGAAGAAGGACTGTTAATCATGCCTGGAGAAAACAGCCTCCCTGGGGATTGGTATGGTCTGAAGAGTAATGGCAATGAACAGATATTTCTCACTCCTGGCTAACTATTAGCTCATCAGTCAGCACTCTAGTCTTCTAGTCAGTCTCAAATATATCAATTTGTTTAGGAAGCTAATAGTCTGCCAAAAGTGACTGGGATTTCAGTATACAATGAACACATAAGAAAAATAAACTTAAAATTCAGGTACTGCAACAATATACTACAGTGTCTAAATTCCTTTCCCGATCTAGTGTCATATTAATTTCACACAACATTTACACTGTTTGGTTTTACTTGCTAATGGAGTATGTTAATCATACTGGAAACATATTTATTATAGCAATACTTTGTGAATAGTATTTTTTACTGTTTCAAAATGAGCTATTCATAAACAAAGTATATTGAAAGTAATTATGTGAAACAATAAATTCTGAAACTACAATAGAAGAGATTTTGCTTTTAACATAATTGAACTAATTTATGTCATGAAATTGGATTGACATATTTTGGAGTACACAACCGTAATTGCTTCTGCAAAAGTAAACAAACAAACAAAAAACCAAACCAACTAATTAATCAAAAATAACTCCTAATCTACCCAAGCAGTCTGGTGAAAGAGAGAAGAGACACCTAACAAATATGACTTAACTGAATGAGAACAAGAAAAGGGATTAGAGCTCTTAGAGAACTCAGAAAGCAGTCCTGAGTTCTCTGGACTATACAACTCTGGATCAATTATCTTTGAGAATCATAATGAGAAATGTTTGCATGACAGAAAAATATATTATTAATATTATATGTTATATTATTAATTCAAATTTCTATACAGGTAAAGTAAATATTCAGGCAGTTCAAACAATTTTTAAAAAATAGAATTGTGTGCTTTTTTATGATTCTGGGTCATCTTATTAAATACCAGGCTAACATATTGCAAACCATTATCCTCTGTTTTTAATGAAAAAGAAATCCTGTAAAATACTTCTGAAATCTTATGCCTAGATTTTTTAAATGGAGGTTAAACTACACACTTAAAATTAAATCGAAATAGGAGGAAGACACATTCCATAAATCTTCATCAGTAAACTCATGCATAACTCTAACAGAAGACATATATTTTGTGAAGAAGTTTCTTCTCTCTCTCTCATGTCTTTGGACTCCTTCATTTCTTCCACTTTCTTCCATCACATTGCCAGAATACTACTCCCAGAAACTGCATGAAGGTCAAAAAGAACCTTTAGAGCAAGAGAAGGAACATAACAATTGCTAAATCAAGTGTAGGTTTATTTTTGTTGTTGTTGTTTTGATTTGCTTTTAATTTACCTTCTTAACTATTTCTGTAGCTGGTTTTCAGTCTTTCTGTTCTGAAAATCAGAAATAGTTAAGAAGGTAAATATAGGGCTCTTACTACTAAATTTCACTTGGCCAAAACTAGTCCATACATGATGCTCTGTGGGGTACATTACCAAGTTAGATTTCTATCCACCTAGATAGCTTTCTATCAAGGAGAAATAATATGACATGGAAGTCTAATGATATTAGTCTGTGCTTCAATTTCTGTTGGACATAAATTTCATTGAATTTTAAAGTAAGTTTATCTGACTTGTTTGACCAGTTATTCTTTCTAGCATCTATATAAATCCAAATAGATAGATTAGCAAATTACACGTAAGGAAGTACTGACAAGGGAACTCAGTGCTTGCAGTACCATTCAACTTTCAAAGGCATGTGAGACTTGGCCATCGTATTTTTATCTGTCCGTACAATACACTTAGTTCAATTATGACCTAACACAATATTGGAGAATTTATGTTGTGTAAACACACAAAGAGAATGCACAGGCAAATCAGAGACCTCTATAGGATCTGAATACACTATAGCAAGAATAAATTAAAACAGTACATTAAAAAAATTCCTAACAAATAGGCACTAGCTAATGAAATATGTCAAATATTAAAACAAAAAAAGTATCAGTAGAAGACAGGCATCTTTAGGTATCTTATGCAGCTGTCACTTGAGAAGGACACATGGACTGTGTTATATCTGTCATGCCTGCCATATAACCTTGAATGGCAAGGCAACTGGAAGGTGCCAAATCTTACCTTTGACTATAATTTAAAGGACAGATTTAGCTTTCAAAACCACATGTAATATCTAAGTGCATTCAATTTTTAATGTGCGCATTCTGGAGCTCATTCCCACCTTTCATGATGCTACACCTACCTATTGTATGTTCTTACCAATTTCTTTCTTCTGGCCACAGAACTATCCTTTAAAATCTGCCTTAATACCTAAATGACACTTGAAAAAGGACCTGCAGACAGTAAAGGGGATTATATAGACTATGTATTATATAGACTATGTATTTGCTCTGCTTGTTAGCAGCAAAACCAAAGAATTTAACGGTGCGAAACATTCAGAGGAGAGTAAAGTTTGGACAATTGTGTACAGAAAACCAGATCCACTGAAGTGCTATTTCCACACTTTTAATATATACAAATATCTTTTGGAGTTTAGTGTACAAATTTATAATAGTTTAAATTAACAAATATGTTTCAGCTATGTTTTCTTTCAAAGAATAAATAATAAAACTTAACATAGCTAAAATAAAGATAATAATTTTAAATTCTCAAAGTAAAACTCCAGCAATTGGAGTTTTTCTTTGTAGTTAAAATGAAGAACACAGAAGGAATAATCAATACCTCTGAAAGCAGAATTGACTTTGGTGCATTTTTTTAATTAACTTCTTTAATCACAGTTTGCTCTTAATAACATTTTAACATAATGAAATCTTTTGTTTGCAGTGTTCACAAATGTAGACTTTTTTTTAATTAGTTAAAATCTTTCATTCTCCTACTTGATGACAAATCTTCATACAGAAAACATAAATACAATGGACTGCAAAATTGTCAGCCACAGCTTTGTAACTAACTTTTTTTCCTTACTCAAACTTTATAAGGGTCATTTAAATGAAATCTAGAAGTCTAACAAAATCAGAAAAGAGAATTTAATTTTTTTTTCTAGTAAGACACATAAAGTATATTTTTACAGTATGGATAATTTTCAGTGAGAAGATAATGTCAAAGCTCACAAAGAAAAAGAAACAAGTAAAACATGACACATAATGACGATGCACTAAATATGACAACAGTATAGAAGTAAATTTTTATTTAGGGCTAGAGCATTTGAGAAAAGGAATCAAAACCAGAAGGTTCAAATAGTTATTTGACATCTCTCAATGCCAAATACTATTAGTGGTGCTATTGGAAAAGTTAGCTGACTACAGGCATGTTAGGAAGGGGGGCTCAAGAGTGACAGGTACTTTTTGCTCTTTGTGCTACAATCAACCTTTTATCATTGTCATTTTGGTCCCCCTAGTTACCTGTGTTAAAAGCATAACAAAAAGACTGTACTTAAAGTTTGCATAGACATGAAGATTGGCTTTAAATAGCTGTGAACTTACATAAAAGGTGGAATCTTGTTAGGGCTGGAAAACCATGACTATGCTGCTGGCTATACCCTGCCCTGAGATAAAGTTAACTGAGCAGGACATGACATGGCATGGGAAATGGCTGGATGTGACAGATGAGAAGCTGAAATAAATTACAAAGAGCACCATGAGGCATGGCATGGGGTGCAGAGGTGGTTAAGGCAGAATTATCCAAGAAATGACTGAACTCCACAGGTAATTGGAGGGATAACTGGGGACCTTCAGGATGGTAGTATCTCACAGGCAAGCAGTGACAAGGTAACCACGTCAGCAATGACCTACAAGGCTGAGGCTACATAAGGAACAGTCAAAGAAATACTCGATTTGGATAAGGATGTAGCAAACCCAGGATCCATAGGGAAGAATTAATTGAGGTCAGTCAGGCAGTCAGATTGGGGCATAGAAAGGGAAGTGGCAAAAAGAGAGTCAAGATACATGAAAAGCAGTAATAAGACATGTTAGTGTTGAAATTTGTGCTGTCTGGGTGCGCTTTCTGGGCAGTCCTGCACTTGATCACTGTAGCCTAAATCAGGACTGTAGACAAAGCCTGTAGCTCTGAGCATAACGCAGGAGTCAGCCCTGCAGGCAAGACACCTTAGGTCAATTCTCTCCCTGGTTAACAGGATCACACCTGGACAAGTAAATCAACAGTATCTCCAGATGAGGTCTCGTTCCTGACAGCATCCACATCTGCCCATCACCTCTAACAAGTAAAAAATGTTGATACAAACATTTCCATACAATTAATGCAACTCAGATTTCAGTTTTTTAGCTGCAGATGAACTTCTAAATAAGAAAAAGGCATTCACTGGAAAAGTAATATCAACATTTACTGTTTTGGAGAGGTCAAAGCAAGACTTTTCTTGTTTTTTAAAATTTCTACTATTCATTGTTTAGGTTTCCTTCAATCAGTTGAGTATATTTGATGAAAAAGTAAATTTATCAAAACATGAACATGGAATATTTCAAATTTCATGTAGTAGAGGACAGAGGAGAAAAGGGCTGTGTGACCAAAGTATAGGATAATATTCAATTATTTTAAGAGATGAAGAAGGGAGAGTTAATATGCAGGTACATTAAAAAAAATAAAATACTGTATAATCTAGTATAGTCTCAGGATAATGAATAACAGTTTTAAATATGTAGGCAAAGAACTCAGCTTTTTTCCAAGTGGGCATGAGTCATATCCATTAAAATTGTCGTATTTCACCATATCTGATATTTCAGTATCTCTGTCATTCAGAGATGGTTTTCAAAAGTATCTTTCAAATAGTCCCTTCTGTTGTCAAGATGCCATGAAAGTTACAGCCTAAACATCACTCTGCAGAAAACTGCTGGAGACGTGGATGAGTTCATAAATAGTGGCAGTGACTTTGGAACTCGCAAGCAGACAGTGTTTCACAAACTAATTCCTTGCCTTGCAGAAGTGCCTTGCTGCAACAGTCTAGCCTACAT